TCCTGCATAGCCACTCGCAATGGTGGGGGATGGGGCTGGTTGTACTTCCAGGGTTCTTTTTTCCCTGAAGGCTCCATGTGGTGCTGCCCCGGCATGGGGGGAGGCAGTGCAGTCAAAGGTAGCCACTCATTTCAGGTTCTACTGTTGTCTGTCTCTGAGCAGCAGGAGGGTCTTCAGCCTTACCCACCATGTTCTCAGATTCTCTCACTGGTATCTTGTTCATGAATAGTTGTTAGTTATTCTTCCTGTAAAGAGAACAAAGTCAGGGAAGTGTCACCAAGATGTCACCATCGTGGTGACATCACTCTGGAATTTATTTTTGAATACACTGTTCAGTAGACGTTAAGCTTTGTTGCCTACCAAATGATTGCCATTTGCAGAGACCTAGCAGGAAGTGAAACCTATCTTTCCTAACACATTATGCTTGGCAACCAAGCTAATTCCACAATCAGGAAAGACAACGGGGCACCAATTCTGTTGTTAAAGACACTGAACTTTGCTTGCTTTGCCTTTGTAACCCAAATATTACCTCCTCAATTGCTTCAGGAGAATTAAGGCATTTTTATTTCTACATCACTTTTTTTTTCCTACTACCTAACACAGCTACTAGCACATGCTAGGTTATTCATAAATATTTATTGAATAACTGGGAAGTAAGGCAACCAATTGTTAGTGCGATTTTGACAATTTACCCAGATTACTAGGTTCAAGTATTCTCAAGTCTCTTTTCCACAGAAGCTTTCAGTCAAATTTCAAATAATTTTTAAAAGGCACAATATTTGACATTCCCTCTGTACATCTAGCCCAGCCTATAAATGACTTGGCAAGATGCAGATATTTTCACTTGCCTTATGATTCAGCCTTTTCAACATCTCTACATCTTCTCCAGGTATTTCCTCTACTGCAAACTCCAAATAGACGGGACTTGTTTTACTTAAAACAGCAGACATGGGTGGCTTGTCCTGTAACTTTCCACTTAGTAAGTAACACTGATCATTCATTTCATCCCTTACAGAAAACTTTGGGAGCAAAAAAAAAAAAAGCTCCAGCTTGATCATAAATGAATTTTACACCATTTAGGTGAATCTAAATTGTATCTCTCTCTCTCTCTCTCTCTCTCTCTCTCTCTCTGTCATCAGCCTGTTAACTTGTCAGTCGTTAGTGGCAGTGGTAATTTATTTTTCTTCTGCACGAATCTTAGAGTTTCCATCTACTAGATTTATTAAAACAAGAATAGTCACTTGGTACAAACATTTTAATTAATTTTAAATAGTAGCATGAATGCACAGTGTTCTGCTCCTGTAAGCCTTAGGAAGAGGAGAGAGAAGCAAGGACATAAAACACTCTACATGTGATTCCAGAACCCCCTCCCACCCACAACCAGAGAAAATTGGGGGAAGAAGAAGATGAGTTCTTTCCATTAGTGTTATTTTATAATCTTGTGGTGGAGGTGGTGGTGGTGATTCTGTGTGTGTGTGTGAGAGAGAGAGAGAGAGCACGCACATGTGTGTGTGAACATGCATATGTCCATCTGAGACATACTACATTTTTAATTTTATTAACCCTTGCAGTCAATTTGGAGACTTAGTTTGGAATTTCCAGAGGGAACATCTGTTCATTATAAACTGTGTGTCAGCTACTGCTTTGAGCCCTTGCATACGTAATTGCACTTAATGCTCCCATCAACTCTGAAAGACAGTATTTTGAAGGTAAACTTGGGTCTCAGAGAAATGCAATAATCTGGCCAAAATCCCGAGCTGGTAAGTGACAGGTCAGGTTTTAAACCCAGCTCTTTCTGACACCAAAATCCTTACTCTTTCCAATTCTGTTCTATATCACCTTTGGGCAGGTGTGTGGAGTCAGGAGTTATTTGTCCTATAACCTATCAGAAAAAATCATGTAGATTTAGTGATAGTAAAAATACAAGAAGAGTTATGAATATGAGAGGTCTGCACTTCACATTCAGCCTCTCAAATGAGGATCAGCCTGAGCCTTGCATACTGTGAGGCTCTGGGTTGAGTTATGTCTGAGAATGAAATCAGTTACTCCTGAAGGATGGTGCTCTCCGTGCAGGTCAGCCCAGCAACCACTAGAAGGCTCACCTCTGGCTTTTGCACTCAGTCCCAGTGGCAAATGGATTACTGGAGAAATTCATTCCTCTTCAAGCTGCTTCTGCTTTTTTATGTGACATCAGCCAAGCCCATCCAGTGGCCTGCTTTCCAGAGAACAGCACAGAGTTTTGCATTTTTTACTACACTCCTGGTGAGCATGCAGCAAACATATTGAAAGAAGGCTGCATTTAGAATGTGGAGAATTCTCTGACCTCACTATTCTCCATTTTTTCCCTGAGTAATTTAAGTAGGTCACATTTTAAATTTGATTTCCCAGGCACCTGGTTTTAAATAAAATCCATTCTTACCTTCCGGACAGTCCTTTTTTTTTTTTTTTTTTTTCATCACATGGAGTTTATGCAGAAGAAAAACAGTTTCAATATGGATAAATAAAATATTATAACTGTACCTTATCAATTAATAAAGACAGTACTTATTTGCTCCTACTTTCTACCCTCTTCTACTCTTTGAGAGGAGAGGAGGTGCAGTGGGAGTCCAGTGGTGGTGATTTGATGTAACTTTCTCTGCTGTTCATGGCAGCTTGTCCAATATAATCCTCAAGCCAGAAACAGCCCTTGGAAGCTCACTCCACTACATGTATGGCGGCCCTCTTCACTAGTTTCCTATTTCAGTGGGCAAGAGTAGAAGTGGGGTAAGAAATGATGCCAACTCTAGTCTTCCCAGGAGAAGAAATATCTGTAATGTTGCCTAAATTAAAAATGGAAAGTGGGTTTCCTCTCAAATGCCAACTCTGCCTTCTAGCAGGTCTCAGCCTTGGTCATTGAGGTTTTGAGGCTCTGTCTAGGCTCTGGGTGACAAGATGCCATGATCGTGACCACTCGACGATGTCTGCAGAGGTGCAGGAAGGGAGATTAGTAGTTCGTGTGCATGTATTTGCCATTCCTAGCATAGAGCTTAGCATGTTTCCTGAGGAACTGACATCGAAAAAATTTGCTTTGTCTTTCAAGCCCTCTCAAAACTTTGTAAAAGCCCGTATTTTTCTCGTTGTTCATATTTGCACAGTCCCTAACCTGAATCTTGGGCACCCTGGGTTCAATGTTTTCTTCTACCCTCTCCTAGATCATCAGTCTGGGTAACGACTCTATCCAGATCTCTGATAAAGTATCCTGGGGATAGAAAGCATGTTCCCTACTCTCTCAAGGACAGTCTAGCCAAAATTCAATATGTGGCTTTGATGTTCTCCCTTTTGAACTCATTATTGTCCTCTGGTAATAGAGGGTAGAAGAAGGGTAAGAATTCTACTGAGAATTATACCCTAAATAATTTTCACAACTGTTGTGTTCTAAAATGTTTTCAGAGAGGATATCTCTCAATCATATGTCAGCTGTTGAGATGTTTTTGTTTCAGGTCAGTTTATAATTAAGTTAAAACATGCACTTCCTCTAGAAAAAGGTACCGTGTGTGCAACATGAGGTCTCCTCCAGAAGCTGAGTTTTTTTTTCCCCACATCTTCCATAAATGCCCATTTAGTGCTTGCCTATAACCTCCCTGTTTGAGGATCTCTAAATATCAGGAACATGGGAGAAATATTTACTTATGTCAACATTGATGAATGCCGAGCTGAAAGGAAATCAACAGTGATGAACATGGTCCTGTCCTCAAGGAGTTTCCTAGAGCTCTGGGAAATTAGACACTCACAGAAGGAAAGTCAATTATTATAAAAACAGGACAGAAACCTGACAACAGGGGATGACTGATGAGCCAGGGTGGCACGACGGACCACAGAATGATTTGATTAGAGGTACCACTGCTTCACAGCACCGGGACATGGCATGGGCTGTATGCACCCACGTACATGTGCATTCCCAATCATGGGAGGACCAGGAGTCACTGAAACGTCCTGTTGGCCATCCCTGAAGGCCCCTGAGGGCCGGTGCCATAGCACGGAGTTGCATCCTGCTTTTAGCTGCAAATGAGAGACCCAGTGGGAAATTTAGGTTCTTTACAAACTGATTCTGAAACGTAAAGTCCAAAGCCTGAAGGTGACCACTAAAATCCCATTCTTGATCTCTGAAAAGGGTGAATTGGCACAACTGAGGCAAAACTGATGAGAACCATTGGCAATTTCATACTGGATGGTCCTCACCAATTCTCAGCCATCAATGGATGCAGGAGAGTCCCAGCTGAGACAGGAACTACTAGAGGTTTCCTGTCTTCTGCCTGCTCTCCCCTTCTTGCTTTTTTATTAGTCCAGGCACTTGTAGCCTATCCTTTATTACACATGTTGTGCTTTGAGGTAGGCAGAGTCATCCCTTTGTGATCTAGGTAAGAAAACTGAGGCATAAAGAGATTAATTATGTCAACCGTGGCCCATCCCCCTTCCTTTTTAACAGACATCAACTTGGCAATAATAGGAGCTGACTAACCAGAGGGTAAAATACTCAGCAAAATGGGTTCTGATCCCCTGCGCCACTAAAAATAACACTTGTGTCCACATAGCTTTATCAAGGGCACAGCTGAGAGTTGGGCCAACCCGCTTTCCAAGGGGGCTCCCCCTCTTCTGAGCTTTGTGACTTTGGCCGCCTACTCTGACTGGTCTGTACATTGTGTGTAAAATGGGTATCAGGATCCCATCAGGATCATCGAATACTTATGACGGTTAAGTACATTGCACATTTGAAGCTGTGCCTGGCGCATTAACAAGAATGGCATTGGTGGTAGCTGCTATGATTAGTAGCATTTTCGTGGTTGTCTTTGTGATGGTTACTGTTTCTCTGAGGTCGGCTCTGCACCTCCACCACCAGGGGCCCCAGGCTAGGACGCTGCAAGCAAAGCTGAAATTCCCGGTGGGCTCCACCCCCCTTAGACGGACAGAACCCTACAGGCACTGCCCCCGGTGACCCGGTGCTCTGTCTCTGGCTTTTGCAGCAGCCTGCCCTGTCCTGTGCAGTGGGAACGGACAATATTCTAAAGGGACGTGCCAGTGCTACAGCGGCTGGAAAGGCGCGGAGTGTGACGTGCCCATGAATCAGTGCATCGATCCTTCCTGCGGGGGCCACGGCTCCTGCATCGATGGGAACTGTGTGTGCTCCGCTGGATACAAAGGCGAGCACTGTGAGGAAGGTAAGCGCTGCAGGGCCAGCCTGGGCAGCAGCAGAGGAGGGAGGCGTCTGCAGACTCAGACTTTTGCTAATGAGCCCAGTCCAAGGCTCCGCGTTTTGCAGAGGAAAACTTCAACATTTTGCACAGAGAACTTCAAATGCCGAGGCTTTTGCAGACTTCTAAGGTTGAATAAAACACAGCCTGCGGAGTGGTTCTGGAAGGAATGCTTTGTTTTACCCTTCCTTATGTTAATTAGCTACTTTTCTTCTTTAAACTGCTTTCTCTGCCTTTGTCTTTCCGCTCTTTCCTTGTAACTCCTCCTCCTCCCTTCTGCTCCTTCTTTTCCTTTTTTTCTTTCTTCCCCAGTCTCTTATCTTCCTTCCTCTTTGCTTTGCTTTCTTTAAAATCCTTTGATTTGGGAATTACTAAAGCTATCCGGAAAATAAGAACAGCAACAACAAAAAACCACCCAAGACTCCTTAATCTCCCTGTCTTCCCTATAGCTGTTTTTGTTGCTGTTGTTGTTGTTGTTGTTTTCCCTGAAACTCTCCCTGGTAATCTAGACATATCTACATATGTCTGCGTACATTTTAGCAAAAATTAGTATCAATAGAAAACAGTCAGGCTTGAAAGACGCTATAGGCACCCATGTCATTTAGACACGATGTAGGTCACATTATCCTGGTACCTAAATCACACAGAATTAGAGGAGGGTGGGGGTGTAGCACAGTAGTGAGAGAGTAGGAGAATTCTCAAGAGCTCACTTTAGCATGCATTGTGGTGACCTCTGAAACCCATGGGGAAAAGTTAGGGGTGTAGTCAGCTGAATCTAGTCTGAAAAAACGTGATCAGAGATGTGATTTGGTGATCAGATAGAGAAAGCTCCTCTCCCGATGTGATCCATAGCCAGCTTCTGCGAGTCTGAGTCAGTCTGGTTAGTGCTTTCAGAAAAGCTATTTGGTACCAAGGTGTTGGGATCTATAAGGCAAGGGAGCCCCGCCAAACTGCCTGCCAGCCTCCCCCTCTATATTTGCACTTCCAGAGTATGGTCTCTAGCTGTCCATCTGTTGTTTCTCTTTACATAAAATATCAAGCAGCGTTGGTAGGAAGGCGTGAGCCTAGGTGCGGTTCATCCCTCATCCACTCCCCAACCTTTGAATTGACTCAGTTGTGTTTATCAGCTGAGCCACTTTTCCTCTACGTCTGTCATCCAGGCAAACATCCCCCATACAACTCAAACAGCCTTTTTTCCTCCCAGTGGAAAAAGAAGTGTCAACTCTCCCAACAAACTGAGGAAGAAAGCGAAGCCCACAGCCTACCCCATGAGAAACAGCTTGAGAGAACCACCCAGGATGCCCCCCAAGAAAAGACTGTTAGGCGCCATATCCCGTGTTCTCTCTCAGCTTCTCAATGCCAAGCTGATAAGAAGGGACCTCAGGTGCTCTGAGGTTCTCAGGTGTGAGCAGATCTGATCTCCCATCCCATTAAGTTATGGATCTCCAGTGTTCTGTAAAACCTAACCAATCATTACTGCCTTTACCACAAAGTAATGACCGTAACTCACCCTTAGTAACATACTGAAGCTCCCCTTCTGAAATCTCTCATTTCATAGTTTATAGAACTCTGGCTAAAACAGAGTCCGCTTCCATGACATTATTCTTCTAAGATTTTTCCAATACATCAGTGGTAATGCCCTTAATGGGACCCAGAAGTCTGACCTCCAGATCTTCACTGGCTCAACACTTTATATATTTTTTCCTCTGTTATAAAAGGTAGCCTCCCTCCATCTGCATCATAAAACCAAATTGGGAGTTTGGATGGAAGAAGGACTGATTTAATAACCCTGCTTGAAAGGTTGAAGTTCTCAAAGATAAATGGATTGCAGAAGGCAAAGCCGCATTTGCTGAAAACATGGGAGAGGCCAATAATATGACAAGAAAGGTTAAAACGACCTTTTGCATACATCATTTGGCGAGAAGGAAATGATAGAGCAATGACATTGCCCGTCTTAGAATTTTTTCCCTCCAGTAAAGATTGCGCATATCTGTATGAGTAGAATTTCAAGTGACTTCTCAACTTTCTTACTCTCCCAACCTGTCGTATTTAAATGTTCCGAATGAATTAACCATCCAGCAACACAAGGAAGCCACGTGGACCATTATGAAAGGATGAAATCCCCCCTATTGATTTCTGCTACCCAAAAAGAATGAACCGAGGTGATTCATATGCTGTTTTCAAAATAGGAAATGAAATCAGAAAGTCTGGATCAGCACTTTTTTCTTCCATTTAGCTTTTTTATTTCTGATATTCATCATAGTCATACGTTCAAACAATTTACCTGCAATGGCCACGGCAACGAAATCAATAGTTGCCATCCTCCATTTTTGCTGCATAAACGTTGTACTATTAACAAATTTGCACAAGAAAATAAAAGGACGGTTTCCTGAGGTTTCATTCAATGATGTCTGGGGGAGTGGGAAGGTGATGAGCAAGGAATTGACATATTAGTTTAAGTCAGCCATGTTTTCATGTCAGTTTCATGGTTGAGTCATTTTTCAATGACATTTAACTTCATAAATGTAATTCATGGTTCTTCGGGGGTTTATAGTACATATTGTTTGTAAAACTCCTTGACCTCTTTTTTTATCCTTAGGGATAGAAATTGCATTCACAACCCTTTTTTGTCAAACCTACAGAGGGCCCAAGACTAAATGAGTTCTAATGATTTCAGCTGCCAGGGGGCTGGTGTTGTAAGGCGCACGGTACTTAGCTGGTAAAGGCCACTGTCCCCCTTTTAAGTATAACACTGTTTCTATTTATAAAGCTTCGTAAAATGCCATAGTCCCTCCTGCCTGCTAAAAACTCTAAGGACGTGGCCACAAGACCATCTTATGAAATTGGAAGCAAATTTAAAATTCATCGTGAAACTGCTCTTCTTAAAGTCTGGATTTAGTTATTCCATCAGCTGCTGTAACATATTTACTGGTATGACTGAAAGGGTTAGCTCATATTTCTAGATACAATAAATGATTCTTTGGATGACATTCCACTCCTGGGCTAATAAATCCCAGTGGGTTTTCCTCCTTTCTTCATATTATAATTTAAAATAGAGAAGAGAAAGCTAATTTATCTAGAAGAAAAATGACATTTTCTTTTTTCTTTTTGGGGGGATGTGGGGTATATTACTTTTTATGTCATCCTTTTAAGAAAAAGATTATGATGTATTTTTTGAAAGCTCCTAACTGTTGGTACCTCACCAAACATTTTAAATAGCTAATTATGATGGAGAGTAAATTTGGGGACACATAGCACCTGGGATACCTTTGTGTCTATTTTGATTTTGCCATATTAGCAAAAGGGACAGAGAAAAAACTACAACCTTGGGATTTTCTCTTATTAGAAGAATATGGACAAGACTCATTCTAAATGAATTAGTTCATATTGCGCAGGTCCCAAATTACATAGCATTCCTCCCCCAAAGCAAGAAGTTGTTAGCACCATTTCTTTCTTGTCAGTTCTTCCTGGATGTTTCTCTCACTAATGACAAAGGCTTCTAGCAAAGTCTGCCATTCATTTCTGTGTCAACTGTGTATTGAACACCTACTATATTTTTTACCCCTGCTGAACATGAGAAAGACACCAAAGCATTGCACAACCTCTTTGGACATGTCTTCTATGTGTCTGAAACTTTCGATTCATTTACCTCCAGATGCCCTCCACCATCCTGAGCAAATCTGAAGGTATCAAAAAGGGTTCATATCATCAGAAGTTATGGTCCCCAAGACAATGAATACAACCTTAAAATGATTTCAACCAGAGCAACTAGCATCATCCTAAACATCTCCAACTAATAATAAATCACTGAAATTCCCCTTTCTGAGAGTGTTTTTGTTTGTTTTTTTTTTTTTATTTCCGTTATATCAGTGGCAGCTTCTGTTTCCCCATGGCTCAAATAGTCTTGAGCTGGTTTTCATAAATAATATCTTCTTGAGAGGATTCGAATGGATCAGCTCAGAAACATCTCTTTACGCTAAAAATTCTTATTGTTGCCTCAAGAGCACAGTGCTTTTCGGAAACTTCATGGAATACTGTGATTTTTAAGAAATCCAAATTCCTGAGTTTGATGTTCCCTGGAATGAAATAGTTTGTGGCATGGGTAATTCTGAATAATGTCCTGTTTAGAGCCAAAGTATCATCAATTTTAAAACCTATCATTATTTTGTATGCCATAAGAAGAAAAAAAAATTGAGACTATGCTACAGAAAGCTGGGACCCCAAAGGGTTGCCATCTCGGTGTCATGGTGAACTATATAGACGCCAAAAATCTTGCATGTTCCAATCTTGGCATTGGGCAGGGAGAGAAATCTAAATCTCTGAGGATTGGAACTACAAGATGGCACACATGCATATGAGGGACTCAATTACACCAGCAGTGTGGTCCAAGAAACCTCAAGAAAGGAATTTAAAGTGGTCTCAAGCTGGCTGTGCCCCCAGATGATGGCAGAAGCAAATGCTTTACTCTAGGCCAGGAGGCCTGATTTCCAAGCTGTTAAAATAAGGAAAATGTGTGTCTTAGTTAAATAAGGTGGTGAGACCTGCGTATTTCTCTGCTACACAAGACCTATCGGAGCCATCTGCAGGACCACCATTGGTCATTCAGACCCCACAGTGTGCAGTGCCTTCTTCTCCAAACGCCACTGCATCATTTTCTGGGAACACCCGAGGAAGTTGGTCCTCCTCTACCAAGCCCTCTTTGCCCATCTCTGAGCCTGTATGGATGTCCAAAGTTTGGGGTCACATTCCCATACAAAAGGTCATGTCTTTGAGAATTGACCTTTGCAACTCACAACTCTCCTTATTCTGAGTTGATTCCACAGTGAGAATCTTTCTATTACCTACTGGATGCATATCCACTCTGAGTATTAAGATGTCCAAACAACCTGAGCATGAAATTGCCAAGAATGACAGTGACCAGAATTAACTCATCTGACTGACACAGTCTGAGAGGGTGTCAGCACCACGGCCAGAGACTCACCCATTCAGGCCACTCCTGATTTTGTGTGGGACCCTTAACTCTTTGGGATCATTTCCACACCCAGCTTCACCTCTTCTATCCTGCTCTTTTGCTAACGCCTGCAGTAGATGTGTGTTCAGAAAATGAAACCTAATTTTAGACTTAGCCTAAGTGACATTTAATTAGGAAAGTGACTCATTTATGAGTTTCACTGGTTTTCTTTGTAATCCTTTGTTACCTTCTGAAGACAAGCATTAGTGGAGTTAGAATGAGCCTTCTTTTCCTCTCTGATAGTGAGGGATAATTGGGCTTGGGGATACATGTAGAGATATCACAAGTATTCATGTCCCAGGCTCAGAAGCTCTGATATGATTTAATGAAGGTACTAACTTTTGTAAGTACAAGGTTCTCAGCCTTGAATGGCACACCTCTATATCTGATTGCTCCTAAGTCTGCTTGAGAAAGCCCCTCTTTCTCTTACCTTCTCTTCGAGTTTGAGATTTGGTGTTTCAGCAAGTTAAAAAAAAGTCTTGAATTTTTTATAGGTTGTTCTTCAAAAGACCACGTAAGTATTACCTGGGCTGCTCCGGTTGCTTGCCAGGGCACAGGAGTTAGTGAATTGTGCATTTCTTCAGCAGCAAGCTGGCATCTCGTGGCCCATTCCCCATGAGTGATCAATATTCTTCCTCTTTGTTTTGTTCTTGGTTCTTTTTTTCAGTTGATTGCTTGGATCCCACCTGCTCCAGCCATGGGGTCTGTATAAATGGAGAATGCCTCTGCAGCCCTGGCTGGGGAGGTCTAAACTGTGAGCTGGCAAGGGTCCAATGCCCAGACCAGTGCAGTGGGCACGGCACTTACGTCCCCGACACAGGCCTCTGCAGCTGTGATCCCAACTGGATGGGTCCCGACTGCTCTGTGGGTAAGCCAAGAGGTTTCCTCCTTACTTTTCCCAACACTCATGCCCTGTGCTCCTTCCGTGAGCCCAAATGGATGGGAATCTACTCTTCACACTTAGCTTGGGATGAAGGAATGTAGGGTAATTGCATAGTGCCTTTCTTACTCTCTCTTCCTCAGTCATTGAATCTGTGATCCTGGAAAACAAACAAACAAACAAACAAAAACACCACAGGTCCTCGTGCCTTGTTTGTTCCATCACTACAAATGGATGAGGGGCCCGGGAGGGATGCTTCCATTTGCATTATAGGTTTTCTTATGACACTCCCTCAAGGTACCAGAAAACAAAACAGAACACTTCAGTCCCAGACAAACTGAATGGAACGTCCTATAAAACAGAAAAGAGGCTCCCTCGGGGTGCCGTGTGAACATGTTACAGAGCACTGCAATACTCCAGTGACAGGAAAATAATGAAGTTGCGCTGTACACTTTATTTTCCTAAAATTAAGAGTATGCGTCTTACCTCCCGAATGACCCTACAATGGAACGGTTCAACAGTTCAAGCCAGTCCCAACCTACCCGAGAATGGTTCTGTTCACAGTGACAAGTGCCTATCCAAGCAAGCGATCATCATTCCGCCCCCTTCCTCTGGGTAGTGAGACAGCTGTCAGATTGCCATGGCAATCAGGAAGGGAATATATGTGAGGCTTTGCCTACAATGGGAAAGAAATGAATATTTCATTCCAAAAGGAAAAAAAAGAGTCAGTTAAAATGGGCTATTTTGAGACGGCTTCTCAGCCCACTTGCCTCTGGCTTCAGCGCTGATGCCGGTGGTCCAGGCCAAGCTCTGCAGAGGATGGGGGAGGAGGACCCCGAGATCCAAGGCCCAACTGTGCTGCCGATACGCTGTGTGACTTGGAGTGAGTCACTGCCCCTCCTGATTGAGTTTTCCTTCCCCTGGCACGATGAGCCATGCCTCCCTCAGCAGTCTGTCGTAAGGATGAATGTCTGGCACGTGCTTGTCCTCGAGTGAGAGGTCTGGAACGCCAGAGAGTGTATATCTGTCTGTCTGTCTTCTCCGCAAGCACAAAAGACTTTGAGCTCCTTTGAGAAAGAGGCTGTGTAAATGCAGCACAATCCGAGCGGACATTATTGCCACAAGGTGCCGATGGGGCTGACGGGTGGGTTTGCCATCATCGTGGGGTTGAAGCTGCAGGGTTCCCGAGCGGTCTTTGTTCAGTTCAGGCTCTCGACAGGGTAAAAATCATAGTTGGCCAGGGAGTCAGGATGCACATACATGTTCTCAGTTGGCACCTCCCACATAGCTTTGCCAAACTGGATGGCAGGGGTCTGACCTCCACCTGCGGTGACCTCGAGCTCTAGCACAGTGGTTCTTACCCTCGAGTGCACATCAAAACCACCTGGAGGACTTGAGAAAACCAATTTCTGAGCCCCACTCCCACAGCGTCTTATTCAGGAGATCCAAGCAAGGCACAAGAATTGGCATTGACTACCAAGTCCCCAGGTGACAGCGATGCTGCTGGTCGAGGGACCCCACTGTGAGAACCGCTGCTCTAGAAACTACATAACGGTTCGTACCCAGCCCGGTGGAGGGACAGGCCTCCCCAGGAGACACACCTGCTGGGCCTTGGGGCCTGCTCCAGGGACCCAGGCCATGTGTGTGGTCTGGCCTCCAGTGGAGGGTTTGCCAGCTGTCGTGTTGAGCTGTAATCATTGTTTTTCTTCCAGAAGTGTGCTCAGTAGACTGTGGCACTCACGGCGTCTGCATCGGGGGAGTCTGCCGCTGTGAAGAGGGCTGGACAGGCGCAGCTTGTGACCAGCGCGTGTGCCACCCCCGCTGCATTGAGCACGGGACCTGTAAAGATGGCAAATGTGAATGCCGAGAGGGCTGGAATGGTGAACACTGCACCATTGGTAGGCAAACGGCAGGCACCGAAACAGGCACATATTGCTTTATTTTCATAAATCGTAGATCTATAGTGATGGTCGTGCATTGCAACTGGCTGTTCCTTCAGGGACACGAGTGCTCTACAACATTCCTGCTGCCCCTCCAAATCTTCAGGGGGCTAGGGAAGGGAAAAGCAAGGTCTCCAACTAGAAAATGCTTTCCCTTCTTTCCAGAATTCTAGATTGGGAGGCAAGGAACAAAACCAGATAAAATCCATTCAAATGACTGATTTGGGGAGGGAAAAATGCACATGCATGGGAAATTGTCAGGACCTGGAGGTTTCAAGCAAACCCCCCACCCCCACCAGCCATGATGGTAGTCTGCAAGTCTCCACTTTTTGAATACTCTCCCCGCCAGCTGGATCACTGGATCCCTGCTTGCTGGCAACAATTGAACTCACTTGTTTTAGACCAAGTTACTTGTAAGGCAGGACTCCCAAGTTTCCAGGGTAGCCAGGGACCCCTGGAAGAGGTTTATGCACCATCTTGCTGTCCCAAGACAAGGCATCATGCTTGGGCCCTGATCCTCCCCATCACCACTACCATCATTCAATGTCTCCCCGGTCCCATGTCATTCTCACTCAGTCACCTTTCTACATAAGTTCCTCAACTGAGAGGTTTCTTTTGTATTGTTTTGTTGTTTGTTTTTTTAAGGTTGTTTTATCTCTTGAGGAGTAATCGTTTCCAGGTGTCTTCAGTTTTGGTTTTGATTGCTCTTGGTCAATATTGTGGTTCAGGGTAGGATGAAACTGGATTGAATGTATCCAGTTATCCCTTTGAGGATCGGAGCCAACAGCTCTTTGGTTTTCCACATCCCTCAGACAGAGTGACAAAGTTGTCCACTTGAGTATTATTTTCCTACCTGTGATTTTTGCTTATGCTGGTTTGAGTTCATTGTGGAGCTGGCTAATCCACTCACTTGCAAGGAAATCCTCAAAGACGTTTCCAAGCAAACTACTGACTTGTCCCATTACAGTTACCTTTGAAGCTAGCCATCACGTTTGCATCCCTCCCCTCTGTCCTAGCCCTAACGCCCCAGTCGACAGATTGGCTACCCAGAGGGAGAGGCGGAGTTAGGAGCTTGTCCAGGGCTGACTCACGAGGTCAGACTCAATTTCCCATGCTGTTCATTTGAGTGGTGAAGCAGAGACCAAGCGTACTCTGCATTAGATTTACCCTGGTTCCATCTAATTGGGCATCCGAGGGGCAGCATGCCGATCTAGGCCACGACCATAGCACTGGGACCCTGGCGGGACAGTCTGTTGGCAGTGAATTGTTTTTGCAATCTCTCAATGATGCTCCAGATCCCGCTCCCCTGTGGCTGCTTTCATCTTCTGTTCCCTGCAGAGTCTGGGGGATAATTCAGAAAACTCTCAAGGGAGGGTGCGCACGGCCCCCTACCGAGCCAGTTCACAGTTCGTACCAGCAGCTCCCACTCTTCAGGAGCGTTCCTGTTGATGGGCCTTTTTGCATGCCCGGTGTGATTTAAAGACTTTGCCCCCACCCCATACCTCCATGGCTCCAGTCCTCACACCGCCCTCAAATAAGAGCTCTTGCCAACCAATAACCTTTAGGTAGAAAATCCTACTTTCTTCACACCATCCAGCCTCTCCCCTCTGCGCTCCCTTCCCCCACTCATCGAAGTTTTGCTGCCCCCACAGTCAAGCCCACTGGCCCTCCCCCACTTACAACTCATCCTCAGTCTGGCAATAGCTCACAAGAGCACAGCCCAGACAGACTGGGACAGTTTGGAAAACCATAGGGGAGGGGGCCAGACAGAGCTGATCTGCTGACTATTTTTCTATGGCTGACAAGCTAAGGATTGTCTTTACACTAACCAAGTGTTGAAAAAAGTTGTAAGAGGTGTTTTCCGACACATGACATTTGATTTCAAATTTCAGTGTCCATTAGATAAAGTGTTTTTTGAGGACAGCCCCTCCCATTCACTGATATGTTGTCAGCCTGCACGCTCCATCGTAGTGCTAAGTCCCTGCCACAGAGACTGTATGGTCCTCAGAGCCCTGGGTTACCCGGCCCTTTATGGGAGCCATCAGCCCTCCCCTGATTTAGAGAGTTGCGCAGATCTTGATGGAAAAAGAAGAGAAGAAGGCAGCTGGTCCACACTCACTTCAGGAACAGCACCCCCACCCTGCCCCAGCTGTGGTTTGAAGGTTGTCAGAGGAAACAACAAGGTCCAGTGGAGGAGTGAGGAGAAAATAATAATGGAGTGCTCCTGTCTCTGGAGCCTTTGAAGATGAAATGGGATGATGGCCCCTCTAGTCTGGGTAGGAGATGGTGAGGATATGGTCAGCACGAGAACTTAGGAGATGCTTCCTTCTAGCAGCCCTGTGGGTGAGATGAACTGGGGGAAGGTGTTTCTGCTACTTGAAGTGCCTGGTTTGAGTTTCACACGTGCATGCGCTAACACGCATGAGCTCTCGGGAGACAGAGAGAGTGTGCAAATTCACGAATCAGGTGAAGCTACCAACATGAAGGGAGTTTCAGGTCCAGGAAAGTCTCTTGTTCAGAACTATAATCTCTCGCGACCGTATGAGTTCACACTATGTAAGTTAAAAAGATATTTATCACCAAAGTCTTTTCTTTTGAGAAATTGAGGCTCCCTGGTTTCATTTGTAGGATAGGTGCTCTATCCTCATAGTTACGTTCCCTGTGACTCACTCTCAAAAAACCAAACAATACCTTGGCTGGTGAGATTTGCTATTCAGAATCTCGAGATGTTTGGACGCACATAATTGCTTCTTTTGCTTTTCAACCTCTGGCCCCGGAGCTGCTGTGTGCAGTTTTAGACTTTTATTTTGAGCAGACACTCCTGTCAATTCACTTTAAGTAAATGCCACAATTTACAAGCCCAGAATTGGTCCTCCTCCTCAGGGATACTGACAGAAAGGAAAGAGAGGCTTTTTGGTCCTTTCTAAGCAGAGCCTCAAATGCTGTATTTTGAAAATAGAAAATAAATAAGAATGAAATGGCACCTAGTCTGCAAATAGCGCTTTAGGAGATTTGGGGTGAGGCTGAGTCTGTGTGGTTTGCGTTGGGGTGCTAGGGTTGTCTGCAGCCTATTTTCAAAAGGTTGTGGTGAGAGGTGGTTTTCTTAGGATCATTGCAAATCGTCACCTGAACAATTGACAGCACTAGTGGATGGCATTTATTGTGCCGAAGGAAGCAAGAAGACAGATGCAGGGGTGAGGGGGGCGGTTGGCCGCGGTGGGCGCGTGGAAATGAGGATAAAAACACAGACTTCTAAAACTCAATTGAGTAGAATCTATCCACATTTGGTCAAATGCATTTCTGGAATTTTCAACCAAATTATTATTTTTTTATGTTTGGAAATTTAGTACGTATTGCTAAAGGTTTAAATATAAGGTATAACATTTCAAGATTAGCTGTTAGAGTTAACATCTTGGTAGACTGGATTCAACCAAGCAGTAATTCTTATGTCACATTGTTCCAACAAGTTAAACCTAAGGTATGGCTGAAACTTACAGAATTTCATAGATAAGAAGTATGCTTTGAATCCAAATGAACCACAATTCTTGTTTATCTTTGGAATATATAGTATTATTTGGATAGGCTGCAGTTTACTCTTAGGAAGAAATCAGAAAGCACATTGTGTGGTTAGATTAGTTTTATGCTTTAAACATAATCCTAAAATGGGTTGTTGTTTCTATCACCCACCAACGCCTTACTGAACCGGGGACTGAACTTGAGAAGGCCATCCACGGACCATACCCCCAAGGCATTAAGGGGCTACAGAATAGGTCAAAAATCACGGTGAACTGTTGTAAACTCAGCTAAGTGTCTGTTGCAGAGTAATTGTTCCTGTGCTGTGGGAGCAGAATAGTGGAGCCAGGTATAGGGAGAAATAACATTTTGCCAGAGAATGCGAGGAGGGAAACTAAATTCTAATTGAGGATTGTTGCTATTGTCTCCTGAATCTGGGCTGTCCAGACCTCCGCTCTGAATAACATAAACAAACACACCCACAGAATAAATCCACCAACACCAGGTGCCCACCCTTGGTGAACTGTTTGATATCGGGGTAGTGAGCAACGCTGATAATAGTGATTACAACTTGTTTATTTTGTCTCTGTGGTCTTGACCTCCAGTTGCATTTCGGAATCATGAGGACTTGATTTCTAGGACTTGATTTCTGTGGGGCTGAGTGACCGGCCATGTGCCCCAAGTCAGAACAGTTTTCTTCTTTCTCTATTGCCCTGGGGCCCTTCTATTTTTCCTCTTTAATTGGTTGGGGAAAGAAATAGGTTCTTGTGATGTTAATAAGGAAAATGAATCTTTACCCCAGGTAAAACCAGCCGTGCGACAATCTGATATGCCGATTAAGTGATTGTCATCAGAAGTAGACAGGGTCACAGTCCAAGAGGGAGAGAGCTTGAGAGCTACAGGGAACAAGATGGGAAGAAAGTGACTATCAAAATTAACCAACTTCAGACTGAGTACAGTTGCTTCTGCATCTCATTCCAGCTTCATTCTAAGTTATGGAAACATTTTTCTTGTAGCTGTTACCGTGAACATTCGAGCTTTCATGACTCCACAATGAGATCAAGTTGAGATGAAATTAGCCACTGTGGAGCCATCCTTACCACCACGTCTGTGGGAGCAGCTAATTCTCTGATTGGTTAATTAACCTATTCCTCTGGGGACTCTTATTAGAATCTACACTAGGAGCTCCATTCTTTTTGAAGTGAAAACTGGAAGGGATGGTCCTTGACTGTTAGAGATTATGGACAGACTTCTAGCGGAGTTACACTTCTGATTTTTTTCCCCCCAGTTGGGCCAAAATGTGAGCCACCACATGGCCAGACATTCTCTTTGAGTCTGGGTCAGGCAATCTATCCAACTTTCCTACCCAGACTCAGAACGAGGACCAGAAGGTAAAAGTTACAGGAACACCTTTGCAACTCACTCCAAAAAGTAAAATAAAATGAAAAGAGAAAAGTGCCTTACAAGTAATCAGATTCTCATCACTCAGAGTGTTGACTGTCTTGGCTTGGGTGTTGAAGAAGGGCTTTAAGCATCTGTTGGAAAATAGACTACAGAGACAGACATAAAGATCACTCTCACTTAATGTCTTGACCATTCTGTAGTTTAAATGGAAATTTTTTTTTCTGTATTGTTTCCTATGTGATTTAGTAATATGTGCCCATGTAAGGAGCTCCTATCAAAAAAGAAAAGGGGGTTGGGATGCCTGGGTGGCTCAATCCGTTAAGCCTCCAACTCTTGATCTCAGCTTAGGTCTTGATCTCAGGGTCGTGGGTTCAAGTCCTATGTTGGGTTCCATGCTAGGCATGGAGACTACTTAAAAAAAAAAAAAAAAAGGAGGAAGAAGAAAAGAGGGAACGGAGTCTCGATGTTTTAGCTCTGTGGGGAGGCAGTAACTTGGAGCATTCCTGTACCATACCCTTACTGTTTCGGAGGATCCTATTGATACACTAGCCATGGCCCACAGTGCTGGGGCCAGACCCAACATGTAAATAAATAGCTTAATATGAAGTGTTACTGATTTCACAAGAGCACAGAACTAAAGTAGTTTGGAACTCTCAGGACAGAAACCCACGGGTGAGGGTTAACATGAAAAATATTCTATACTCAAAGGAAAACATAGAAGAATAAGAGATGTTAAAAAAAAAAAAAAGGCAGGGGGAATTCTCTACCCTAGTGTAAGTAGTGAGTACTCTGTTACTTGAGCTTTGACAAAGAATCAACCATTCCATTTATTAAGAACAAGTTTCTTCCAAGTTTGGGATTCTCAGGTCCCCCCAAATGCCCTCAAGACTTGGCATTAAAAGGAAAGAAACACAAAAGGGGCCCGAGAGATCTGAGCCCCTGCAGGTATTCATGATGGGTATTTTCCTATCACTCACTGTCTGATTTGTTGTGGTGTTGTGAAGAATAGATTGATGGATGATGGAGGATATCTGTGTTTTAGGCTTGACTCTGCCCTAAACATCCAGGGGGCTCTTGGCGTAGTCACCCACCTTCCCAGCCCAGTTTCTTCCTGCGGCAAATGAGGGGATTGGACCACATAACTGCTTTCCACAGTGTGGTCCCAAGCATGATATGCTTTTTGTTAGTGTGGAAATATATTTTACTGAATGGTTACGTAGGGTTTTTAAAAATATGTGTTTGGGAAAACTATGAGTAGCTCATCAAACTCATGATTATACTGGTATTGCTTAGGGATATGGCAAAAGTAAGTAGCAATATTAGGCCTGAATAAATCTAAAGAAACATATTAAGTAAATAACAGTGCAGATATTGCACATACCACAAATACAATAGATGATCGACTGAATTTAGAACACACTTGGATGAGATGATCTCTAAGGACTGGTCCAACTCCTGAATTGTATTACTTGGATGCAAAATTATATGAATTATATGAACGGGCCACTCTAGCACAATCAAACCTTTCTCTTTCCTGTAAGGCATGGGGAGGACTTCCAAGTAAGATCCCATAATACACACTTTACATTAAAGGACTAGATACAGTGTAGTGTTGACTCAGCTGATGATGCTTTTTTCTGAATGGTTGAGGATAGTCAACGGTAGTTTTTGTTAGTTTCTCCATCTGCTCATCTCCAGTTATCTGGTTTACCTAGGAAATTTTTTCTCTTCATTGAAAAACTTCCTTCCATAGTCTGAATAATCAGAGTCCACTTATTCCTTTATATTATATTAGTTGATTTAAAAAATGGTGTTAAATAGAGGCTTATCTATCTATATCCACTTTACTTGGATTCAGGGCAATGCAAGCATAATGAAGCACATAAGATAAGGCTTATATGTCAGTCTGCCTGAGATCAAATCCTTGCAGGTTTCCTCACCTTTTTGTGCCTCAGTTTCTTTGTCTGCAAATGGGAAAACAAGAGATGACCTACTTCATTGGGTTATATGTAAAGTTTGGGCACAGAGCCTACCATAAGATAAGAGCCAAACAAATGTGAGCTGATGTCATCATCACCATCATCATCCCCTGCCCCGTCACCACCACCATCATCTCTTACCAATGTAAGACAAAAGCAAGGGAAGATCATTAAAATAAATTTCTCTTTGAGACATTTCTGCTACTTTCTTTTTTTTTTTTTACTTGTTTTTTTTTTATTAACACATAATGCATTATTTGCCCCAGGGGTACAGTCTGTGAATCATCAGGCTTACACATTTCATAGCACTCACCATAGCACATACCCTCCCCAGTGTCCCTCACCCAGTCACCCCACCCCTACCCCCCACCACCAGCAACCCTCAGTTTGTTTCCTGAGATTAAGAATTTCTTATGGTTTATCTCCCTCCTGATCCCATCTTGTTTCATTTTTTTCCCTCCCAAACCCCCACAACCCCCTACCCTGCCTCTCAAATTCCTCATATCAGAAAGATCATATGATAATTGTCTTTCTCTGATTGACTTATTTCGCTCAGCATAATACCCTCTAGTTCCATCCACGTTGTTGCAAATGACAAGATTTCATTTCTCTTGATGGCTGCATAGTATCCCATTGTGTATATATACCACATCTTCTTTATCCATTCATCTGTTGATGGACATCTAGGTTCTTTCCATAGTTTGGCTATCGTGGACATTGTTGCTATAAACATTCGGGTGCACATGCCCCTTCAGATCACTACATTTGTATCCTTAGGGTAAATATCCAGTAGGGTGATTGCTGGGTCATAGGGTAGCTCTATTTTCAACTTTTTTGAGGAACCTCCATGCTGTTTTCCAGAGTGGCTGCACCAGCTTGCATTCCCACCAACAGTATAGGAGGGTTCCCCTTTCTCCGCATCCTTGCCAACATCTGTCATTTCCTGACTTGTTAGTTTTAGCCATTCTGAGGGATGAGGTGGTATCTCACTGTGGTTTTGATTCGTATTTCCCTGATGCCAAGTGATGTTGAGCACTTTTTCATGTTTCTGTTGGCTATTTGGATGTCGTCTTTGCCGAAATGTCTGTTCATGTCTTCTGCCCATTTCTTAATTGAATTATTTGTTCTTTGGGTGTTGAGTTTGGTAAGTTCTTTATGGGTTTTTGATACTAGCCCTTTATCTGATATGTCTTTTGCAAATATCTTCTCCCAGTCTGTCAGTTATCTTTTGGTTTTGTTGACTCTTTTCCTTTGCTGTGCAAAAGCTGTTGATCTTGATGAAGTCCCAATAGTTCATTTCATTTCTGCTACTTTCAACCTCCCTTTCATATAACTGCCTCCAACCTACCATCGTTAGCAGTGTTTCAAAAATAACCCCTACCCACTACCAATTTCTCAAGCAAAGTTTTGTTCTATAACTCGCTGGTATCTGCTTCTTACAGAGAAATGTAAACTGGCTCTCTTACCTGGAATGGAACCTGCTTTTTTTAACCAAACAGCCCCATTATACATGGAATCAAACATCTGAATATCCTCATGTTAACGGAAACGTATTGTGAAGTTGGGGTTTGCTACTTTCAACCAAAATTTATCCAACTAGACTTCTTGGACATATTCCAGAGAAGCCAAGAGGTCTATGAGAATTTATTTTTAATTCTGGGTTTCATTTTTATAATAAGTATAGTTCAAAAGAAACATCTTTTGAAGTATTGGTTTGGAATTATG